GGACCTGTTTGGGGAAGGACTTGGCTTATTTGCAAATGAAATCCGTCGCCTCCGCCGTCCTCCTCCGGTACCGGCTGTCGCCGGTTCCCGGTCACCGGGTCGAGCAGAAGATGTCTCTCACTCTTTTCATGAAGAACGGGCTCCACGTTTACTTGCAGCCACGTAAGCTCTAGGGGAGGGGTGTTTCCGTCATTTCGCTCCGACCAATATTTGTCTGTTTTTTGTTAAATTAAAACAGTAGGAAAATTTGGTTCCCTTTTCTTATACTGCACAGGCAAATTTGTCATTTCGTTCATCGTTACGAGGGTATACTTGTCAATCCGTGTGTCTTTTTTTTTTATTTCGGTGGAATTTTACGTAAATTGTTGGTGGTTCAATTGGGGAGTGAAAGTGTTTTGTAATTGTTGTATTTGGTGGATTTTCCATACATTAAAGCCAAATATATATATATTAAGTAATGGAAAAATATATATTTCTATTTTTAAATAATTGTTTGCACATAAGCTTTTGTTGTTTTACTAAGAATTTTTTTAATTAAATATATCACTCCTTATATAATATGTATGTATCTTCACCTTGTTGTACTAAAAAAAAATAGATGTAAAAACTTTTGTAAGTAAGAGTCTATCATGAATGTGAAATTATAGTGTTTTATTTTGCTATATAAAAATAAAAATTTATTAACGAGTTTAATTACATGTCACATTTAAACTACATAAATTAAATTAGTATATACTTTAACTGTTATATTTTTTTGTATTAAATATATACGAATTAATGAAATAATCTATTTAATTGTTTAAAAGAGTTCTAAACCTAATGTACTTTTTATGACCACATTTGTGATTCTATGAATGCCTCTTTTTTTTTTCTTTGTTAAGAATAACATATATAAATGATTTGATTGAAAGATTAAAAGACTCTTAATTATTAATGCTTACAATAGTTTATTTACACTTACAATTATTGACAATTTTATCAAAAATTAAAAGACACATGCAGTATATAATCAGATTCAAATGTTTTTTTTTCTAATTCTGAAGAAAAATATGATTTTTTTTAAACGAAAGACAAAATGTTAGTGCTACAATATTTTTTTTTTAGAAAAAGATACGATGACAACGAAAACATAAAATTTATACACTATAATATTGTTTTAAATATTTTCTAATTGATATTTTATTTAGTTAAGGGAAAAAAATGCACGAACAAGAAATACTAAAATAGATAAAAAAAAAATATTGGAGTAAAATAATTGGAAAAAATAAATGAGAAAAGGGGGAAAATTTCTCCATGTACAACATTAGATTAGACTGATACTCTCTTTATAAAAAAAGAGTTGAATTAAAAACAATAAAAAAAATGGTACCTTGTACATTCTACAATCTATTTTGCATATTCACTCCATTTATTTATATATTTTTTTACAAATTAATTTATAAATATGTTTAGGGATTTGAATGGACTAAAATAGATATTTTAAAAGTTTAGATATGAAAATGATATAAATTTAAAAGTTTAATTGCAAATAGAAATTTAAACCATTTATTTATCAGGAGATCAATGTGAAAATATACACTACACAAACGATTTATTTATAAATATTTACTTAAATCACCAAAAATATTCAATGGGCAACTACTAAGAAAAAAGGAAAAATGATATTTTACCAAAAACCCCCCTAAGAGAATCTACTATACAGTGGGCAACCAATGGTTTGGAGGAAAGAATTAGGTTGGAAATGAGGGGGCAAAAGTTGCATTCTAGAAGGTTAGTCCAATATTTTCTCACCAGTTGAGAAGAGATTCCAAACCACTGTTCCAACCAAGTACAGCCCAACTGAAACCTTGAAAACATCATCCCATGAACCTGCAAATTTTTTTTTTCAAACATGCTTTTATCATATTGCTATGAGAATTTTCCATAAATTCCTAAACTTTAAAAAAAAATTCTAATATCTCTCTTGGGATAAAACTCAGGCATTTATCGGTAAACTAAGAGAGATGAATGCATAAAGTAAGAGACAGAAACTAGAATAAATAGCTATTGATTTTTTTACTGGTGCTTACCTACTTGTCGGCAAGTACTTAACTTTTATCCTTTATTTTCTTTTAATTTTATGTATAATATATATCTCTAAACTTTCAATTTTGTGTCTAATAGGTACTTTATTTCTTTTTTATTTTGTACCTAACSGTTAAGTCCATGAGTTTTAAAAAATATTGAATACGTCAAGGATTTATTAGACACAACTAAAAGTTAAGGTCGTCCTACTATTATAACTTTTACGGTTCAAGGACTTACTTTGAACCATTAAACATAGAATTACATTTGTTATATAACCTAAACTCATTTATCACTTTGCCATGGGTGAGTTTTGAATTTAAACTTGAAATTGAAAAATTAATACCCTTAATTAGCAAAATTTTAATTTCTTTGAAGATTAGTGGCTAGCTATAGAATTCTTGCAGTGAGAATATTTTTGTTGATACTAGTTCTGATTGGGGTTAGAAATTTTATTCTTCAGATTGGGTGCTTTCATTTCTTTTTAGTGATTTATTGATCAGTTGATGGATAATTTTCTAATTTAGTTTTGATAAGATATTAATTTCACCATTTATTCAAATTTAAGGTTAAATTTGATTAGGTCAAAATTGACCCCTAAAKTTTTCTTCTTACAAGTTGTTATGATTAATTAGTCTTACAAGTAGGAAGAAGAACTAACCGTGTTGCAATATGTAACCTGTAGCCGCTGTCCCAAAAACTCCTGCTAGAACTCCAGCTGTGTTTGATAGACCAAGTAACACTCCCTAAACAAGATCATTGCATCAATCACAAGCTCTTTTAATGAAAAAGATTAAAGAGAGTAATCAAACAGAAGAAGCTATATGTCTCCGAAAGTCGACTTAGAGCGGAAACTCACAGAGTATCGCGGGGCAATATCTTGATGGTTTGAATATAGCCCGGATTGAGAGAATGCATCAGTTCCCTAATCAAGGCAGCATATCAAAGTAAATGTTTGTATGTTTCTCGACAAGAAGAGGAAGATGGAAAGGAGATTTCAAAATGTAGACCTACCTGGCTGCAGGCCATGCACAAAACCGCCATCACAGGAGAATCGACATGGCTCAACTGGGTCAAGAAGAATGCAGGGCCAAGAAATCCAATAGTTTGCATAATCTGAAGATAAATTTCAAGAAACTGATCTTCAAGAAGTACAATAAGAGATTCTATCAGTGTATTCAGTTATTCAGAATGGTTTTGGGAAGCTAGAAAGTTATCATGAAATAGAACTGTACTCATTCAACACTGCAAATTGACACGGTTTGACTCGAGCGAGTAGATTCCATTAAGAATATGCATAAGAGATTCAATAGAYTCTGATTAACTTAAGCTTTCGGACTTTCAAGTAATTCAACGTGATATCATAGCAAGAGAATTTAAATTCTACAATGTGATTTCCTTTCTAATTAATATCGACAGTCTGTTAGGCCTTGTGCTAGTTTTATGCTAAGAATATATATGAAAGATTAAATATACTATCCCAGTCTATAAGCTAAAGTTCTTTTTGCGTTCAGTGGTAGTTTAATATAATATTAGAGCACATGAAAGCATTGATTATAGAAACATTTCTTTTACCTTGCGAACTGTAGTCACTGAGAGGCCTCTGCTCACAAGTGTGTCGGCGATCCAGCCTCCAAGGTTTGCAGAAAACGCCATTGTTAGCCAGGGCAGAACACAAAGAAGTCCAGATTCTGTGAGATTGAACTTCAGGACCTAAGTGATATATARAGATTCCAAATCAAGATTTACATATCTTCTGTATCATGAAAGCAAATATGGACAAGGTCTCGTGTCGGTTGAGCCTTATTTATACTTTCGTTCATCTTAGTGAAAGCTAGTTTGTTTTCCCATTTAAGACAAAAGAAATTATGAAATCCACAGTCCACAACACAGCCAATTACCAGAAGAGCTGACATATAATGACCAAACCAAAAATTCTTCCCAAAACTCCCACTTTTTTCCAAGATTTACATGTATTATGCTCTGTAATCTATCAAACCTTCAATCTCTCTGTCACTATCCTATTTTTCTGAATGTGAAGATTTGTAGGACTTACAATGTTGCCATTTTTTTAATGCTCATGCTTTTTGTGTTCTATAATGGTCAAAAGCTTGGATAGTGATTCAATTATCAAGAGAATAAATATGAGACTTTTGCAAGAGTAGCCCCAAGAAAGTTCTACCTTGGAAGTAATAAAAAGACTTACCTGGTGATAGTATGTTGGCATCCATGTCAAAAGAATAAATGTCCCCCAATTGTGACAAAAATGAGAAACTATAAGAGCCCATACTGGTGCTTTGGACAAGATCAGTCCCCAGGGTATGCTTTTAACAGGCTCCTTGGAAACGCTATTTGCAAAAATAAGCTTCTTTTCTTGTGGTCTCAGTTGAGGATCCTCAAGTGGTGAACTGTGTGCCTAAAGCCATGACTCGAAATTAATCATTTGTTGTCGACAAGCTTCCAAGAGAGTTTTATTGACAGAATAATATTTCGATGATAGCAGAGTTAGTTACCTTATTGAGCCAGACAGTGAACCAAACCGCTCCGAGAGAGCCAAAGGAGAAGAAAACTGACGGCCATCCAAACTGATGGATTAAAAATGGTGAGAAGGCAAGGCCTGTTACTGAACCAAGGTACATTCCACTATAAACAAGTGCTAATGATCTGCTTCTTTCTGCCACAGGAACCCATTTGGAGAGTATATTGTTCATGGCAGGCATTGCAACACCCTGAAAACAATTGAACCATTTGAGCCAATGCCTATGGAGGAGAGAAGGAAGTCAAATTTTCTTCCTAAAGCCTCCAACTAAAATGTGCCTTTCTTTTTTATGTATCAGCATGGAGAAAAGGGATTGATTTGCAGTAAGCGTTGCGAATGTATATGAAAGATTAGACATAGCTTAAGTTTTCAAGTCTAGAGGTAGCTTAACAAGGTACCAGAGTTGGAAATTCTAACTTTGAACCTCCAAAACATCATTTCCTCTCCAATTGATAATAATAGTTCATGTATCGGGTTTCATGTATCAAATTAATATTTGAATTCACACGTGAGAGGGAGTGTTAGAAATATATACCCTAACTTATCCATTTAAGCTTTTGGATCTAGGGGTGATTTAACGAGACAAACCTCACCAATCCCCATGAATGCACGAACAACGAGCAAAAAGGGTAGCCCAATTTTAGCAGCTACAGGTGTGAGAGCTGTGGCAACTGACCACCATATCACACCAAATCCCAAAACTAGCTTTCCTCCAACTGTATCTGCCCATATCCCACCAGCAATCTGTCATCAGCCATAGCGAAAAGTTAGAAGTGGAGGAAGAACATAAAACAGTGGTTCCTCTTTATGGGGAAGAAGAGGAATTCCTTCAAGGCTTCAATTTACACGATSAAGTGGAACAACTCTAAGTGGGAATATGACTATTTAGATGGTCACAAATAGGTGTAGTTTCTTACTTTTTAAAATCAATTTATTTCCTCAAAATCTCTTCGATTTTGCTCTGATAGAGGGAAAAGAATAAATTTGATTAAGAAGCTTTATGTTGGGTTTGGATTAATTGATTTTATTATATTATCAAGGCAAAAGGTCTTGCTTCATTCCATATCATTGTTTAGCTTCATGTTTAGTTTACATATACACAGTAGAGGAAAATCTCGGCCAGAAGAATTAGAACAATAGAAAGTTGTGAAGTTTACCTGAGTGAGGAGATATCCCCAGAAAAATGAGGATTGTATCAAACCAACGGTTTGTGGATTCCAGTTGTACTCTGCTGACATTGGAAGTATAGCGATGCTCATATTTACCTACATACATCATGCCTCTGATTTTAGAAAATAAATAAAGTTTTTTATAGAAATTTTAAATTTCTAGATTTAAATACTATTTTGGTCCATATAGTCTTGGGCGGGTGCRTGTGCTCCGGGGTAYGTGGGAGTAAAGCTTTGACTTCCAAAGTTAAAAAAACTATTTTGGTCCCTATATTTTTGTTTTTGTTTTTTTTTTTTTTCATTTTGGTCTCTGTACTTTCAATTTTCAAAACTTTCATTTTGATCTATGCACTTTCCACTTTTGTTCATTTTAGTCATCTTACTTTATAGGTTTCTCTACCGTTAAAAGTGACTAATTTGGTCTCTATTTGTAAAACTTTAACATAAATTTTATCCACAATGAAAAGCCTTTAATACAAATTTATGGCTACGTTTCGCCGTACTAAAATCATGATCGGAAGAAATGAAATAAAAATAAAAATGAAATGATCAAAATGACCATTTTTTAAAASTACAAGGACCAAAATGGAAGTTTTGAAAGTACATGGACTAAAATGAACAAAAATTGAAATTACATGAACCAAAATAATGGATATTTGATAACGTAAGAWCCGAAATGAAACAAAGCCAAAACCATAGGGACCAAAATAGTATTAAATATTATTTTTGTTTTATTTTWAAAAAATTAAGTTTGCTTTATTACCTACAATTTCTTTGTTTTGGTTACATTTTTAAATTACTAGTCAAACTTTAAAAACCATAACATTTTAAAATGTTTCACTTACCAAATTTCAAATATTATATTTTGATTCCCAACTTCCATAAACACTCATTTTAGTCCTATTTAAAATTTCATAAGAGAAACCTTAAAATATACTTGACTTCAATTTCAATACCACACTCAATACACAGTAAAAATTAGCGAAAATTTATGTAAGATTTAAGGAGCAATATGAAAGAAATATGCAAGACTTTGGACCAAACTCCAAATTAGGGTTTAAACCTAACGAGTAAGCTAGGTATATTAATCAGCAACAGTCACCTAAATTTTATAATATCATAGAACAGTATCTAATCCAACAAACATATTATAAAAAGAAAAATTAAAAATAAGGTTTGCGGCACAAAAATTGGACAAATAATTCAGCAAGAGATTAGGGAAGAATCTCACTCTGTCCATGTTGCAGAGAAGAAAGGCGGAGAAACACAGGGTGACGATGAGCCATCGTTTGGGGAACTGTTTCCACCATGGAAGTTCATCGGCGAGCTGCTGCTGTTGTTCTTCTTCTTCGTCCTCGAGCACAGGCTTGCGTATGGAGGACTCGAATTTCATCGATTTGGGAGGTTTTTTGGAGACGTCGTAGGGTTTGGATTTGACATCGGCCCAGAGCCGCCAGTTCCCCCTCCCTCCGGAATGTGTGGTGGAAATCTGGAAGACGAAGCGGCGTGGATCCTGCGGAAGAGAGGGGAATTTGGGGCTCCATTGGGAGAGGGAGAATGGATTTGGGGGCGTCGGAGAGAAGGAGTAGAGGAGAGCTCCGGCGCTCATGGCATCGACTATGAAGTGGAAGGCGGTGACTGAAAACAGATTTAAATTTGTCGCAGTCGCAGATTGGAAGATATTAATCGGCACTGGTACTCCGTTTGACGCGTGGCKTTTTATACAGAACAGATTGGGTTCTGTAAGAGAGGTTAATCCAAAAATCATGGAATTATGGAATCACGGAAAACTGATTAATTCATGGAAAATTTGATAGAATAATCATTTCCACCGTATGAAATTATGTATTTACTCTTCTTTTACTTTTCTCTCCCAGTCTCCTTTTTCACTTTTCTCCCTCTTATATTATATTACTATTTCTCTTTTTCATTCCTCGGCTTCTTSTCTCTCTATCTTTCTTTCTCGTGCCCCCCTCTCCCCTCCTCYATTTTTTTTTCAAATCTCTCCTTTAGTCAATTTCTTATTTCTCCCATCATATCTTGCCGAATCTCTTTCCATCAGTTTCTTTTTTCTAATTACTATTATTCCCTTTCTTCTTTACTCACCACAAAAAGTAATTTATTCGTGATGAACCGTACCTGTATCTCTAAACTAGCAGCCTCCATGATTCTCGTAATCTTGCAACGATGGATGAATCAAAGCCGACAAGGGAGGTCGTTCGCAAAAAAAAAAGATCGCTCGCTCTCGATCTCTCAATCTCATATGCTCAGTCTCTCTCTTGATCTCATCTGCTAGGTCTCTCTCCCCGTTAGATTTGAAACTCAATCATAATTAAAACTAYATCTAGAAATTTAAGGAGATTGAGTAGATATTTCAAGAAACAAATTTGAATACTTACCATTCCTTACGAAACTTAAGACAGATTGAGATTTCGTTTCTCTTCATTCCAATTTTCAAATTTTTAATTAAGAAAAATATTTAATGATTATTTGTTAATTATTTTGATTTTGAATTTGACCAAACYGTTTCAAAATTTATTTAGATCCGATCGATTAATCTTGTTTATGATTTCATTTAAATTAACTAAATTTTATTATTATTACTATTTATTATYTTGTGGATAAACGATATTTTATTTCAAAACATTTGAAATTATTCACCTTATAATTTGTTTAATGATATTGAATAGATAAACATTATATTCAAAATTAATTTTTAGATACTATCAAAAAACAATCTCATAAAAAATCCTATTTTTAGATACTATCAAATAAAAAATTTTAAATAATGGCATATGGATTTGAGAGAAAAAATTTTCTTTTTTTTTCCCTCAAAGTAAGATACGGGAATTCTCGCTCAACTCTCTATCGCTCTCTTTCGCTCAACGCTCTCTCTCTCACTCAACTCGCTCTCCGTCGTAAGCCAAACTTCCTTCCCCCCCAGTCTTTTTCTTCGGCGAACGTCGCTGCCGATTGCTGAAGATCACGAGAATCATAGAGGCTGCTGGTTAAAAAAAAAGTTGAAAGATTTAGGGTTTTTTTTATAGTAAATTGCTTTTTGTGGTGAGTAAAGAAGAAAGAAAATAATAGTAATTAGAAAAAAGAAATTGATGGAAAGAGATATGATAAAATATGATAGAGAGAAAAAAGAAATTGATGAAAAAAGAGAAATGAGAGATTTGGAAAAAAATGGGGGAGGGGGGCACGAGGAAGAAAGATAGAGAGAGAAGAAGTTGAACAATAGAATCGAATTCTATCTCAAACTTTATATTGAGTCTGAGCTACTTACGGACTTGAGCGTCAGAGAGTTTGCCTTCTTGTGCAGGTCATCCCTTTGAGGTGAATCAGCTCTCCCACGTGGTCTGACTTGGTTCGATCAGTTTTTCGCATGAATAATGCGTGAGAGGGCTGCAATTGTAGCTTCCAATAAAGAATTAAGAAGGAGACCGAAAAARTACATTGTTCTTGCATGATAGAGAGATTTAAAAGAAAAAAAAAATTAATAGGTTGAGATGGGTACGAGGTACATGAATTTCGTGTGGTTGAGAGTAAGGGTTTAGGGGATTGAGCTAGAGAGAAGAGAAGAGAGAATTTAAACACGACTTTTGGCTGAAAAGTTATTTTCTCGCTAAAGAATAATATTTAGTCGTTTATTGGTCAACTTCATCTCTTTCTAAYGACCATTAAAAATGAAGGATCTAGAATCTTCATTCTTATATATATAACRAAGTCTTTGTCAGGATTGTTTGGAACGAAGACAATGACATCATTCCAAATATGAGACTGAGAGCAAAGATTCTACATCCTTCATTCGGATAGTTCTCAGCAGCAATAGGAGAAAAATGGTCACGGTAACAGCAACAACGACTAGTAAGGAGTGCGACAACGGCCTGCAGCAAGGTTTGTTGGAGAAGTGTTAAGCATGAAAACCAATTATCCAACCTTGGTAAAATTCATTTTACTGTGAGTGAGGCTTTTGGTAATTTCAGTCAATCTTCCGTAGGTGCAAAGGCTTCACTAAACATGAGGGACAAATAGATTTATGGCAGATGTATAGCTTCATTGCAAATTCCAATATGTTTGTTTATTATTATTTTTCTTTTTGAAACTTGAAACCATAATTGTTGTACTATTTATACAGAGCATTGCTCTTCAATGAAAAGAGTGATTAACAGCTGCGAACCTGATTTCTTGAGAAACGTTATTTTGGTATCAGAGTTGTAAAAAATGGCCAACGCCTTTTTCTTGAACAGTGCTTTTGCCTCATCTACAGGAAACTCAACCTTCACATGTCCTCCACTCAACCAACTATTAAACCAAATTACTTCCATCAAGTTAGAGAGAGAGAACTTTTTGCTCAGGAAAAACATAGCACTACCGATTTTAAGAAGCTACCAGCTAGAGAGACATCTCTCAGGTGAAACACCATGCCCACCGACCTTTATGCAGCAGTTGAACAGTAATCCGACACCGGCGACAACACTCACTAGAGATTCGATTTCAAAAAACATTGCTGCCGATGTGTCCGTGGCCTCCAGCTCCTCTGTGGCAGCAACACCCATGGTGAATCCACTGTATGAGTCTTGGTTGGTTGTAGATCAACTCCTTCTTGGATGGTTATGTAACTCGATGACTCCTAAAGTTGTACCCAAGTGATGGGTTATGAGAATGCTAAATATTTGTGGGCAGCCATCCAAGAACTATTCGGAGTGCAATCTAGAGTGGAGGAGGACTATCTTCGTCAGGTATTTCAGCAAACTCGTAAGGGCTCACTCTAAATGACTGACTATTTGGGTATCATGAAATCCCATGCAGATAATCTGGGACAAGCCAGTGATAGCCCAATCACAACACGCTCACTGATATCTCAAGTTTTGATTAGACTGGATGAGGAATATAATCCAGTAGTAGCAACGATTCAAGGTCGATTTGGCATCTCATGGTCCGAGATGCAAGCTTAATTACTCGTATTTGAGAAACGATTAGAATTTCAAAATGCCTATAAGAACACAACAGCTTTCAGTCACAATGCTGATGTCGTCAATATGGTAGCAAACAACAAAATCTCAAATGGGAGTCATCTATTACACTTCTCCAACAGTCAAAGATTTCAGCAGCAATTTAATGGTAATAAAAGGGGTGGGGGAAGTCGAAACAAAGGAAGGGAGCGATGGAACAATGGAAACTGTCTCGTGTGTTAAGTGTGTGGGAAAATAGGACATTCAGCCTTGGTATGTTTTCATCGGTTTGATAAACAGTTTGGGAGAATTAATCAGAATCAAAACAAGGGAGGTAATTCTCAGCCTCATCATCGGGCCCGAGGCCTAAAGGCCGACCCAGGCCCAGCCCAAGTCTGATCCAAGTTCAACGTTTGATCGGTCCGTCCCAATCCAACCTTTTTATTAATTGGATTGGATATGGATATTCATTTTTTAATTTGGACCGGCCCGTGGGCCAGCCCGTTTGAGCCGTATTTGGATTGACCCGTAGGACTGGCCCAAAAGCCTGATCCAATATTTATATTATATAATATTAATATATTCTTTTATTATTTATTTATTATAAAAAATAAATTAGATATGGTAGGCTCTTTTGTTCCCCCTCTTAAATAGCGAAGAGACTCTACCACTTCCCAATATCTCATTTAAATCATTGTTTTCAAACATATTACGAGGAAACTCTCCAACTTCCCAAATTCAAAATTTAAAATTATTTTAAACATATCTAATATTTAGGTTGTAATTTTTAAAATTTTTTAATACAAAATTTTCTTATAAATATCAACCTTCTTTTCTTTTTTCTTCACTCAAATTCTAATTCTAATTCTCAATCTCAATTCAGAGTGTTTAAATTTTCAATTTCTCTTGTAAAAATATATAAATTTAATTTTTAAAAATAAAAATATAATTTTTTAAAATAAGACAACTTAAATTTATAAAATATGACATAATAAAATTGATTAGTAAGGTTATAAAAATAACCAAAAAAATGTACCAAAAATTATATAAAAACACATATTTTAGAATTTAAAAATAAAAAACTTAGTTTGGAAATTATTTAAATTTTAAAATTTAATAATTAAAAATATATTAATATACGGGCCGATCCAAGTCCGATCCAACTTTGGCTTATCAACTTAGGCCCATGGATTGGGCTATGAGCCTAGGTTTGAGTGGTTGGGCCGACCTAATACTTGAGGCCCGTAGGGCTTGGTCCTGGGCCAAGTTTGGGCCATTACTTCTTTGGGCTGGGCTGGTCAGCCCAGCCCAATGATGAGGCTGAGGTAATTCTAATTCAAATCCACATTATTCTCCTACTCAAAATATTGGTAATACACAAGGCACGACCTCCCATGCTTTTGTTGATGCTCACAATACTAATTCGTTTGTGGCCAATACGAAGACAGTGATAGATCCGAACTGGTACGTGGATAGTGGTGCCACAAATCATGCCACTGCAGATTATAATAACATCATTAATCCAGTTGAAAATGGAGGTAAAGTAAAAGTTACAATTGGAAATGACCATAAATTAATGATTTCTCACACTGGAAAATCCTATTTAGCCTGTGACTTAGGTTTACTTAAGCTGGAAAATATGTTGTGTGTGTCTGATATTGCAAAAAATCTTGTTAATGTGTCGAAACTTGCTCGAGATAATAATGTATTTCATTCTGATTCTTGTGTTGTTAAGGATATATGTACGGGCAACTGAAGGGGGTCTTTAATGATGGATTGTACAAGTTGGATACGCTAGAACCAGTCACTAGTATGTTGGGTGTGT